GGGGAGGGGAGGGGAGGGGGAGGCGGGGGGGGGAGGGGCAGTCACGGCGCCTCAGCGCATCTCCCCGCAGCCCGCCGCCCGGCCCTCGGGCCTCACCAGGAAGGCACAAAGCGTGTAGAAGCTGACAAAGTAGTAGTAGGCGAAGTCGGTGCCACAGGTGCGCTCCTCCCCCGGCGCGTAGTCCGACTCGGGGTCGCACAGCTGGCCATAGCTGCAGGCCAGCAGGATCTCCTGCCACGCCTCACCCGTGGCACACCTGGAAGGCAGGGCGCCGTGGGCCTCTCACTCTGGGCGGCGGCGGAGAGAGGGGCGTCGGGGGGAGCAGGCCGGGCGCCCCTGAGGACCCCGGGTTCACGCGCCGCCCAGTGTGAGCCAGGCCCCACTGCCCCCCTGTGCTGCGTGCAGTGCCCCCAACTCTACCCCTCGTGGGGCACCACAGGCAGGAACTGAACAAAGAAAGGGGGCTTCTCGGACAGAGGGGCAAAATCAATCCAGGATTCAAGTCACCGCTGGCTGGGGCAGCAAGAGAGCAAGAGAGCTGACCCGGGGTCGGCGAGGCCTCCCCCTCCCCACAAGGGACATTCGAGCTCCATCGCCCGCCTCAGTGCAATGAGGGTGGGGCGATCCGCAGGACCCCACTCAGGACCGGCTGCCTCCTTTTCGACCCCCCAGGGCATAGTGAAGACGAGGGCCACTCGCGCAAAAACGATTTAACCGGTGGCACCGGCTGTACGGGGGTGAGCATCTGAAAAGGACAGCAGAGCCTTGGCGCTTCGGCGTGCTGGGCCCACACACATGAAGCCAGCCTGCCCGCGGACTAGAGGAGGGGTGGGGACAGCTGGGGCCTCTTGCCTGAACAGCAAAAGCACAGCCTGGGGGAAGGTCTGGAAGTTGTTGTTCCGGTTGATCTGGGTCCCGTCCACCAGGGCAATCTTCCCGAACATCTGCAGACCAGGAGGCACGCGACGGTGGCACCCGCATAGGCCTCCCCCGGCCCATCTCCCCCTGCCTCCTACTTCCTCCAAATCCCCTCCACTTCAGGCCCCGTCAGACCTGAAGCCACGTGAACTGGGCTGCAGTTGGCCCTCGAGCATCGCAGGGGTATAACTTTACAGTCAGCCCTTGGGCCCTCCGTATCCAGGGCTCCGCATCCACAGATTCAAACAACCGCAAATCGTGCGGTACCACAGTACGTATTTACCCAAAAAATCGCGTATACGTGGACACGCGCAGTTGAAACCTGTGCTGTTCAAGGGTCACCTGTATTGTCAAGGTTGGGTGAAGTTCTTCCCCTCAAGCCAAAGAAATCTGGGGGGTGGGCCAGTTGTCCTCACCAAAAGCTAGTCAGGGACTCAATGTGGGGAGCAGGGTGCTCCAGGAGATCGTAGGCCGAGACCACCCGAACCTCTGACGGGGCCCTGGAGAGCAATCTGGGCCTTGTCCGTCTGCCCACAAAGCCTCCCCCCACTCCATGCCCCGCGCTGCTTCTGGTTGACTATCGCTGCGCCGTCTGGGGACCACCTCCTCCTCCGGTCCTGCAGCTGAGCCCAGGGCTGCCGGGAGGCTGGACCGGGGAAGGGTCCAGCATGCACGCAGGCCAGGCCTCCAGAGGCTCCCCTCCCGCCCCTCACCTGCATGCCGATGACGGCGTAGATAAAGAAGAGCATGACGATGAGCAGAGCCACGTAGGGCAGGGCCTGTGGGCGACGATGGAGACTCAGGGCGCAGGGCTCCGCAGCCCCGCCCTGCCTTCGTTCACGTTCACCGGGACCCCACGGCCCCCACAGAGCAAACCTCGTGGGTGGGCGGGGCCGCACACCTGAAAGGACTTGATGAAGGTCCAGAGCAGCGTGCGCACGCCCTCCGCGCGGCTCAGCAGCTTGATCAGCCTCAGGACGCGGAACAGGCGGAAGAAGGCGCTGGAGATGCGGGCGCTCTCGTCGGGGTCCTGCGGGGCGCAGCCCCAGGATCAGTCTGGGGCCGGGGCAGGGGGTGAGGGCAGGCAGGCGGGGCGGGGCAGAGTGTGCGGTACGAGTCGTGCTGGGGGGACTCCCAGCCCGCCCCGCGGCCCCTGCTGAGCACTCGTGCTGGCCCTCGCGGGGATCAGGGCCCCGGGCCCGGCCCGCTGGTGGTGACGCGGGCTGGGCGCCAAGCAGTGCGCTGAATGGACGGCGATTCTGCCCCCGGGGCAGGGTGGGGAGGCGGCGGCCAGGCCGCGCGCCGGCTCTTCTGGGGCTCCTGCCTCATCCCACCTCCTCCCCGAGCTGCCACTCAGCCGAGGACCCTGGCAGTTCTCCTGCCCCTCCCCTAGTGTCCACCCAGTGCAAAGTCTCCCAGAAGCTCAGCTGCTCTGCGGCCATCAATTCAGGGGCCACGCCCTGCCCCGCACAGGGCTGTCCCAAGCCGGGAGGCCTCTGCCCACGTGCCAGCCTTAGACACTGGATGACTCCGGCCAGGGAGAGCCCCCTGCCCGGCGTCCCGTGTCCCCACAGGCTTGGTGCTGGTGACCTGTCACTAAGGTTCTGTATCATCCAGTTCTCTCTGGATGTTCCCGTCAGCACAGAGGCCATTTCCCAGGGCTCCGAGAAAGCCACTGCATCCATGCACAGTCTAGTAGCACAGAGCTCCCACCCGGACCCTCTGGGGCCTGCTTGGGGCAGGGGGCCCTGAGTGCGTCTGCCCCATGCAGTCCAGCAGCCAGGCCCGAGCATGCACGCTGCAGGGCAGAGCTGGCGGGCGAGCCCTGCAGGCTCATGCAGCCTGGAATTACAACGTTCCCGCAGCTGCCACCCAGGCAATACAGTCCCCCGCTGGAGGCCAGGAAAGTCTGTGGAGAGAGAGAGGAGGGGGTGGGGGGAGGAGAGAGAGGAGGGGCACGGTGGGAGGGCGTGAGGAGAGGCGTCAGAGAGGACAGACCACATAAGAGTTAAAGAGAGAACGAGGCAGAGAGGCAGGGGCTGAGAGGCCCCTAGTGGCTGCCGGCCAGGGTCTGGCGGGTGGGTGTTGAGGACGGAGCTGTGGGGACAGTGAGGCCACAGGCTGGGGGCAAGGGAGCCGGGAGAGGAGGGGAGACCGAAGACGGGCAGGTCCCTTCTCACCCCCAAGATGCAACCTGTGTGTCTGGTGTCTGTGGTGCTGGGGCCGTAGGGGGGCGGCACGTGGGAAAGTACCTGTGCTCATGGTCACAAGGGGAGTCACACCCCTGTCTCCTGAGTCCAGGGGTGCTGGCCAGCTCCCTTGTGCTGCTGAGGCCCTTACCGGGGTCCCATCCTCTGTGGCAAAGGCCCTCTGGGGGAGTCTGAGACCCCCCAGCAGATGCATCTCTGCCCACTCCCCCCAGCCCCCAACCTGGGAGCAGGACTTAGGCTTCCATCTCAGGGCCAGGCTCTTAAAGGGTGGGCACGGGGTGCGGGGAGCAGCCTTTGTTCCTGTTTACTCTGAGCTCCTCTCTTGGGCCACATTTCAGGAGAAACCCTGTTTCTGGAGTCCTGGGATGGGGAATCATTGCTTTATCTCCTAATTACTTGTGGGGGGACTGGTTCCCAGTATGCTATTTCCCCACCAAGCAGCATTCTCCAGGGCAGCTTTCACCTGGGACATTGGTTCTCAGCCCAGGCTGGGCATCAGAATGCTGGGTCCCCACCCCAGCCGAGTAAGTCAGCTCCTGGGGCCTGGGCCTGGCTTCCGGGTGTAAATGCACCCCAGGTGATTTCATATGCAGCCAGGGGTGACAAGCCACGTTCCAGGCCTGTGCGGCCAACATGGTACCACCAGCCACACGTGGCTCTTTGGGTTACAGTGAAAATTACATAGACTTAGAAATTCATCTCCTCAGTCGCACTGGCCACATTTCAAGTGACCAGTAGACACTTGCGGCTCGTGGCTACTGCACTGGACAGAGCAGAACCGGGATTGCAGAGAGTGCTAACGGATGCTGCCGCCCTAGTCTGCTCCCTGGTTTATACGACAGGAATATAAATCAGTATTTTAATTCAAAGTCTTAACATGACTTCAAGCAAACAGTCCTGGTTAGGGGCATCTGCTGTCCCTAAAAACCAAAAGGGGACCAGCGACGCCCTCGGCCCTCCTGCACCAAAGAAACTGCTCTGATTTACCCCAGACTCCCTGGCACAGACCTCAAAACTCAAAAAGAAGTAATTTGTAATTTGAGCTGAGACTGCGCTGGTGAGCAGTGCTGCTCTCAGACCCTGGGGCCTTTGGGGGGCTATTTCCCAGCAGGTGCCCTGGTTCGCCCAGAAGGCAGCCTGCCCCCCTCGGCCCCGCCCACTCCGGGCCTGCTTGGTTACAGGATGCTCTTCCCCACGCCCCTCCTCCCGGCTGCCCCTGGCAGGCACTCTGGGGGTGGGGGAGGGGAATGCCTTGTGACTTCAACCTCTGGCTCCGGGATCTGCCCCTCCCTGTCCCCTGCTCCCCTCCTTCACCCGGCAGCCACCTCAGCTTCAGATCCTCAGCGAGGCCACCTGGAGGGCTCCACCTCTGGGATCCTGCCCTCTGGCAGAACCCCCCGCCCACGCCTTGCTGCTTTTCATCCCACTCCCAGGCCTCATCCCCTCCGTCTCTCCTGGGCCAGCTCCTGGGCTCACATACTGGCTACTTGTACTGAGACCCAACGAGCCGGCCCGCAAGACCACAACGATCCTGGTATCTGACCCCTTGTTCCAGGCCTCAGGGCTGCCAAGTATGACTCCAGGGAGAAACTGGGCACTCGCCACCACCCCCATCCCCCCGCCCAGACTCAGACCCCTGCCTCCTGGCAGTGTGGCAGCCCCATCAGTTTCCTGTGGTGGGTTCCTGACAGCAGCTGTCCCTCAGAGGCAAGTCACACTGTCAAACCCACCACCCTCCCTCCCCGAGGACTCTGCCCGCTCCTCAGATGCCCTTGAGGCACCCAGCACGGATGCCGCCTGCCCTTCTCCCCAACACCCTGCCCCCTTTCACACTTTGCATTCCTCACGGCTTCTGTCTTACACTCATCTTTTCCCAGGGCTCTGAATCGCATCCTTTTCTACCTCCTGTGAGACCCTAACAGTTTCCTCAGCGGTCTCTTCCCTCCTCCATGCTGGCTCCACCCACAGCCTCCGTTTCCTCAAAATGAATGGGAGAAAATATTTGCAAACGAAGCGACTGACAAAGGATTAATCTCCAAAATATACAGGCAGCTCATGCAGCTCAATATCAAAAAAACAAACAACCCAATCCAAAACTTGGCAGAAGATCTAAATAGATTTTTCTCCAAAGAAGATATACAGGTTGCCAACAAACACAGGAAAGGATGCTCAACATCACTAGTCATTAGAGAAATGAAAATCAAAACTACAATGAGGTATCTACCTGACACCGCTCAGGATGGCCATCATAAAAAAATCTACAGATAATAAATGCTGGCGAGGGTGTGGAGAAAAGGGAACCCTCTTGCACTCTTGGTGGGAATGTAAATTGATACAGCCGCTATGGAGAACAGTATGGAGGTTCATTAAAAAACTAAAAATAGAACTACCATTCGACCCAGCAATCCCACTACTGGGCATGTACCCTGAGAAAACCATAATTCAAAAAGAGTCACGTACCACAATGTTCACTGCAGCTCTATTTACAATAGCCGGGACATGGAAGCAACCTAAGTGCCCATCGACAGATGACTGGATAAAGAAGATGTGGCACGTGTATACAATGGAATATTACTCAGCCATAAAAAGAAATAAAATTGAGTTATTTGTAGTGAGGTGGATGGCCCTAGAGCCTGTCATACAGAGTGAAGTAAGTCAGAAAGAGAAAAACAAATACCGTACGCTAACACATATATATGGAATCTAAAAAAAAAAAAAAAAAGATTCTGAAGAACCTAGGGCCAGGATAGGAATAAAGACGCAGACAGTGAAGAATGGACTTGAGGAAATGGGGAGGGGGAAGGGTAAGCTGGGACGAAGTGAGAGAGTGGCATGGACATATACACACTACCAAATGTAAAACAGAGAGCTAGTGGGAAGCAGCCGCATAGCACAGGGAGGTCAGCTCGGTGCTTTGTGACCACCTAGAGGGGTGGGATAGGGAGGGTGGGAGGGAGACGCAAGAGGGAGGGGATATGGGGATATATGTTTACATATAGCTGATTCACTTTGGTGTAAAGCAGAAACTAACACCCCACTGTGAAGCAATTATACTCCAATAAAGATGTTAAAAAAGAAAAAAACTGAAGGGGGTCTGCTGCCCTCTAGTAACCGCCTCCCCCCAGACTCCAGTGAAGCTGTTTCCTGAACTGGCCGCCTTGATTTCCTGGCCCTGCAACCCCTGCTCCATCCTTGTAACTGGCTCCAGTCCCCCAGTCTGCTGTCTGTCACCCCGCAGCTCACGAATGGCTCTCTGGTCCCAAGCCCCGTGGCCTTGCCAGCTGGAACCCTGCGGAGCCTCAACCCCCCCAGGCTTCGGCCACCCACTCCCTTCCTTGATGGGGCGGCTGCCACGTTCTGGAGTCAGTGACCCTCGGTTCCTGGCCTGCGTTTCCAATGACGCGCGGCTCGTCCGCACGCGCGCACCAGCACCCAAAGCCCAGCACCAGAGCAGAGTCGTGGAGGTGGCCCCCCATCCTCCTCCTCGGGATACTGAGTCTCCTCGACGCCTTCCTTCCCGGGGCCCTGGGCGGTACTCACCTCGCCCCACTGCACCGCCCAGAGCCGCGAGCTCTCCTGCTTGTCCTTACGTCCACCCCAACTCTCACGGAACCCCTCGTGCTCCGGGGGCGAACTGCCGTCCCCAGAGCCAGTCCTCCCCGGGACACCGGGTCTCCTGCCCTCTCACCCAAGGGCTTAGCTCCTGCAGTCGCCCCTGTACTGCCTGATCCTCCCACGAGCCCAGGATGTGCTCTAATTTCTCCCATTTTCAAGAAAACTCTCCTAGGCTGCACGCTTTCCTCCGCCTTCTAAGCCATTTCTCTTCGCAGCAAAAAGAGAGGACTGTCCAGGCTCACAGGCTGCCCTGCCTCCCCTCAGCCCACTCCAGCCGGGCGTTCTTTCCCGAGAGTCCCATGAGACTGTCAGGCCCGGCTCCCGGGAGGGACACCACCGGGCGCGGCCTCCGGACCTTCGCTCTCTAAATGCCCTCTTCTCTCCGAGGCTGGTCTCACCCCCTCCCACGACTCTAAATGCCCGTTCCTCCAGTAGTCTCCGATTTAGATCTCCAGCCTGAGCAGCCTCTGTGCGCCACGGTCATAAATCCAAGCCTGCTGCAGCGTCTCCATCCGGATACCCTGCAAGCGTCCTGAGTTGTCACGCCCCAAGTGGGACTCTTGGTTTCCACCCCACGCCTGCTCCTCTGGGAGTTGGCACATCACAGCAAATGGAAGCTCAGTTTCTTGGGCAAAATCCTTGTACTCACCGTGGATTCGTTTTCCTCTCACCCTGAATCAAGTTCATCAGCAAATAATATCAGCTCAGTGCTCCAAGCAGCTCCACTTGCTGGCTACCTCTCCTCTCCTAACCACCCCCCGGGTGGCCCTTAGTGCCCCCTACAGCTTGCTGCCAGCACAGCAGCCCAAGGGATCCTCTGAGAACTGAGGTCAGACCAGGTGTACACGCCCCCGGGGCTCTCATCTCCCCGCAGAACAGAACCCAGGATCAGAAGCGTGGCTCTCCAGAGCCGACGCGATCCGGCCCCCGCCCTCTCTCTGAGCTCACCTCGCGGCTCACCCCTCACCCAGCCGCCAGGCCTCCCGCTGGTCCTCAGCCGGCCCACGTGCTCCTAGCTCCCTACCCAGGCCTGCGCACTCCCCACCTCACCCCCCCCCCC